CCCCCCCAACTTTTTAGGTCTGTCCTCCCACCGAATAAAGTTGTGCATTCCTATCAGTAACAATAACATTAGACATCACTTGGTAAAGGCGTCAGACTTGTGTGCGGAAGAGCGTGAATTCGATTCCCACCGGTACCACGCCTGAAATTTTTTAATTTCTCAGGTGATTCCCCAGCCAGAGTATCGTAAGAAAAAAACATTAAAGTCGACTGCACGAGACCAAAATTTTTCTCCTCGGGTGAGGATTTCCTTTGCTACATGACTAATATGGTACAGAAAATGGAAGCGGAATCGGTTACTCGTAAAAGCCCGAAAAGGTATACAATGAGGAAAGAATTTTATATATTTAATTCCAATTTATGAAAGATATTTCGTGACCAATCGGTGACTTAATCATCAAATATCGTATCGATTCAAATGTATCTTGTCAAGAGGCATAACGTTCGCGCGCTCAAAAATATTGTTGTCATCTAATAAAAATAGCTTCATGCTTGCAACATAAACAATTAGATGTAGGAATTCGAATTTCATCAGCATCGAGTTTCCCCCTTCGAATCGTTCAACTTTTGTACCTACCGTTTTGTTGTCCCTTACTTCCATCAAAAGTTATCCAGATGTGCTGTTTCGAATGGGACACCCTATCTAATTAAAGAATTTTAAGATCCTATGACAGCTACCCCCTTACTCTGTAACGTAGATGATGCCAACCTTGATAACGCTCGAATTAAAAAAAATTCATCATTCTCGTCAACTAAAAAGAAAATCAATTATGTTCAATTTTCTTTAAAGTTTCTCGCGTTTGTAATGAATGTGATAAAATTGGAGATATTACACAGTTATTTGGTAATCTATATCGTTATATGTAATATGGAAATTATTTTTCCCCAGTGCGAAAAACTCTACTATAATTTTCTGTATGTGAACCTAACGATTCGAGAACTATTTGCTACAAGAGAAGCATGCCGCATTCAGTACATTTATTACGCAAGTAAAAAGTCAATTAATACAAGAGAGAATTTTCAAATCCAGCTGAATTATCTTCAATCATTAGTATCTGAGAAATGAACATAAGCACTCATGATTTTTCTGTATTATTGTGTTACCTGTATTTATCAAAAGCGACATCTTGTAGAATTCGATCACTGCACAGAGTAAGCAAGGTGTTCTTCTGTAATTGATAATGATTCGGATATGACTCCATGGCTACCAATGTGAGATCCACAATTTGTTTAAGAATATTAGGATGAATTCTCATTGCCAATTCACCCTTAGTCAAGTTATAGAGACATGCTGTTGCAGCCATTTGGACGCGAAACTCATCTGGATGAGCACGCATTCCAGGTAATACGAGTTGAATTACGTCGACACGTGCTTCATTGAAGTACGGCGTCAAGCGGAACAAATTGTAGAGACATTTCTGCACATAAACTGGTCTGTGAGGATATCGTCGAAGCGCTTCAAGGATCTGAGTCTCGGTTGCCATACCGCTGACCTTAAGAACATTGCGAAACAATAATTATTTTATTAATTTTTCACGTAGTTCGTTATAAATTCAAACGAAAATTTCGAATTATCGCGGGCATCCCATTCGTATCAAGGCATGAATATAATTCTCATCTTCGTCAAATGTGGGGTACGCTCTGATATTTGTGATGACTTAGAACTATTGATAATTATACATTTGTAATGATTTTTTCTGTGGTGACATCGAAAACTCGGAACAAACCTATCCCTTTGGTCGGAGTCGCAAAACACGGCCAAAATCACCACCTTCGTTCCTGTAACTCCGGTAAATCTGGAGCGACAACACCATAAAGAAACCTAACTAGATAAACAGGGTGGGTTCTGGATCAAACCCAGATCCGAGCGCCACCGTCGCAGAATGATGTAATTCAAGTGATAACTCATCATTAGTTTATGTAATTCAAGAGATGACTCATCATTAGTTGTTGAGGCGGAAAAAATTATCACAAATATGGATGACACTTTGATGTTACAAAAAGAAGAACAAGAATAAGGAAGAGAAAGAAAACTCATCAAAGAATGGAACGGTAAAGTCAAATGCCGAAGGCCTGAGCCCCATTAAAATTGCAAAGCGTGAGATCTCCTGAGGAGATTTTCGAAGCGCCTAGAGCAAAGATGCTCGGGGGAGTATTCCCTACGACCTCACGAATTTCCATTCGTAAGGAACCCTAACCTACCAACTCAGGCTAATTATTGGCCAGGTGGAATTTTTATGCGTATCTCCTTACGCGAAATACCCAGCCAGGTGGAAGAACTAGTTCACGCTTCGATCTCAATGAAAGAAGTGTCAAGTTGAAAATGATTCCGTACATTTGATTAAAAAAAAAGAAAACTATTCATCTTTCTTATTAGTTTGTGTTCATAATGATTTCGAAGAAAAAATTTCAAAATGCTGAATTAATTTGTTGTTCTAATTATCATTATTGAGTTGCTGATGAACCTTGTCCTTTGTGTTGGTGTTGTTCCATCGTCTTTACTCAATTCGAACATATAATTTGATCCATCCAAGTCGAAGCAGTCATTGCGGCACCGAAACTTGAGGTTCTGAAGGAGGTGTTCGACGTGCTCAGGACACTGCCACCCCAGGCTAAGTACTCTTTTCGCAAAACAAGTTTAATTAAACGCTTCACCGATTCTGTTGACCGCCAGTTGTACAAACTCTTGACAGAGCTCACGCTATGAAATCGTAAACCCAACCAACTGCTAAGAAAGATTAGGACCCTTGTTGGGAATGGGGCTTCTCAAGAACTCTTTCGCAGTAAATGGTTGTCGTAATTGAGTGACCATCTGTGCAAAATTTTCAAGGCCGTTCAGAATAGCAGCACTTTGGACCAGCTGGCAGAGGCTGCAGTACGCACCATGGAGAACCACATGAGCTCCGATGTCATGTCAATGAGTCCAGTTGTCACGCCACATAGTCAACCTGGCAGTGAAATCAATACTCAGATCGTAACAGCAGGCCATGCCCAAGCCCCGTCATGGTCTGGACCCCATCTCCAGTCTGAAAACAACCCTGCCATTGAGTACAAACAGAACAGCACTGTTAAGAGATCTTTGGAGAGCTTGGCAGTGCCTTTCCCGGACTTGTCAGCCAAACTCAGCACCGTGGGCACAGGTGATACTGCTACACGGCGCGTCCACGGGTGGCGGGTAGGGGAAAGCTCGTCCTCACCCCTGGGCGAGGAAGGGTAGGGGCGACCACGCCCCCGCGGACCAAACACACTTCAACGACGGACATGGACCTCATAAAACCAGCCACGTTTACCGTGCAGGGGAGGGATATCCTAGTACAGGCGGCAGAGCGTGCGAAAGCAGGCACTCTGTCGTCTTCATCCAGCGACTGCAGCATTGTGGAGGTTGGCCACTTGGCCTCCATTGTGTCGGAAACGACAAGTGGGGACAGATCGTGTGGGTTGGCCACGGGAAGTGTGAACCTTGCAGGCCCATCCTACGTGAAGCAACACTCTCCCGTGGCAATAGCGGGGGACTTCAACGCGTGGGCAGTCGATTGGGGCAGCAGGATAATGAACGCAAGGGGCCATGCATTGCTTGAAGCCATGGCGCTCCTGGACCTGGTGCTGCTCAACTGTGGCGAGGTACCAACATTCACCAGAGGGAGGGCCACCTCAATCGTGGACCTCATCGTCGTGAGTGGAAGCCTCGCAAGAGGGAACTGCTCATGGAGAGTGAGTGACACATACACTGCCAGTGACCACCGTGCCCTAACCTGGGAGATCACCTGCGATAGGACATGGCGGCCGGTACCAGTGAGGACTCGGGTCACCGGCTGGAAGGCAAGCGACTACGACGCTAACATCTTCGTAGCAGCACTGGAGACGGGACCATCCAGAGGAAAGGATGCGACAGAGAAGGCGACGGACATGATGCGCAAAGTCGCGCGTGCCTGCGACGCCACCATGCCCAGAAGACGCGGCAGTAACCGGCGGCCACCGGTTTACTGGTGGACAAAGGAGATCGCGGCGCTGCGGAAACGGTGTAACGCGGCCAAGAAACTGACACAGCGTGCGCGCAAGAGACCTCAGCATGCCTTACTCGAGGCTGCTCACAAGGAGGTAAGATGCAGGTTCGCCAAGGCGATCAAGCGAGGTAAAGCTGCTGCGTGAAGGGAACTGGCAGCTCAAGTGGAGGACGACTCCTGGGGCAGGCCGTACACGGTGGTCATGGTGAGGTTTAAGTGCCAAGCGATGCCATCACCTACGTGCCCTGTCCTTCTCGATAGGATCGTTTAGGAGCTTTTCCCCAGCCAACCTGACCTTTCACGCATGAGCGGGCGAAACGATCTGAAGAATATCCCGCTTCTCACCATAGAGGAGCTAATGGAGGCGACCAGTCGTGTGGGGAATACGAAGGCCCCTGGCCCTGATGATGTCCCGAACGTTGCGATTAAGGCAGCTATACTGACCCTACCAGACCTCTTCCTTGAGGCCTACAGCGCCTGTCTCACAGAAGGAACGCTCCCTACCCAGTGGAAAAAGCAGAGGTTGGTACTGCTCCCGAAAGGGAAGAAACCACCGGACGACCCAGCATCCTACCGTCCGCTCTGCATGTTGGATACCGCAGGGAAGATTCTGGAGAGGATCATCCATAGGCGGATTGAATCCCTGGTCAACCGGTTGCTGGCCGATGACCAGCCCGACTTTCGTCGCGGGAAATCAACCCTCGGGGCCATTGATCTGGTTGTTTCGACAGCCAGAAATACCATCTCGGGCGCCCGTTGGAACAAGGGAGCGAAAAAGTACTGCCTGGTGGCGACGCTGGGCATACGCAACGCGTTTAATTCCGCACGATGGAGTTGCATCATGGTGGCCTTACAAGAATTCGGAGTCCCGGACTGCCTCCAAAGGGATGTGGGGAACTATTTCACCAATCGTGGGCTACAGTATGATACACAGGACGGTCCCAGGGAGCACAGGGTCACGGGGGGAGTCCCACAGGGCTCTGTGTTGGGACCCCTTCTGTGGAATGCCATGTACAATGTATCATCGCTGGGATGATCCCCATTGAAATCATGGTGGAAGAGAGGCGGTTCTTCTACAGAATGAAGGAGCAAGCACCCTCACCTGGATCGTCAAAGGGAAGCGGAACTGAATCGATGATGGCTAGCGAAGCGAGGCGGAGAAGCATCGACGCCTGGCAGGAGAAGTGGTGCAAATCGCGATAGGGAAGGTGGACCTTCCGCCTTATTCCCGAAGTTGGCCCATGGTTTGAGAGGCGACTCGGAGAGGTGAACTTTCACTATACGCAGATGCTGTCAGGGCACGGCTGCTTCCGGGCGTACCTCCACAGATTCGGGCACGAAGTCTCACCGGACTGTCAGCTCTGTCTGGGTGCGGCCGAGGACGCCGAACACGTGTTTTTCGCTTGCCCGCGGTTCGCTCGTCATCGCGAAAACTGGTTGAGTCCGATTGGCTCGCCGACCCCGCCCGAGACACTGTCGAGTGTAATGCTGGGAGATTGTGCCGGGGTGGGAATGAAGGAAGTCCGTCTGGATGAACTTCGCAGGAGGAAGGTGGAGGTGATAGGTAGGTGAATGAGTCTGCGATCTTTGACTCTGTGCACAGCCGCAGGGAGAGCGGTCCACCGCTAATGTCCCCCCCGCGAGGGAATGCCTGCCGGCGGCTCCGTGGGGGGTACGGGACCAGGCGCGGAGAGGAGAAGAGGGGGCTTACTGAGTCAGAATCTCAGATCTGGCCTTGAAAGACCTCGGCCCGAACCCCTGGAAGGTTCCTCTAAACGTCTTTAAAAAAAAATGCACAAGACGCCAGCGCACAGGAAATACGACAGGGCAAGAGGAGGAAACGAGAATCACCGGACCTCAACAATCAAACGAAGAAGGGGCCGAAGGAAGCGTATCCTGTGCTGCCCACAACTGGGGCACTGCCGACCCCTCCTGCTGATCAGCAATGGGTCCTAGTAAGTAGGCGGAAGGAGCCGAAGAAGGGCAGCCAAGCTCCCCCCCCCCCCCCCCCCCCCCCCGAAGAACCCGAACGCTGCTAAGAAGGGTGACAAACTCAAGGGTGTGGCACTCAGACCGGATGCCTTGATCATCCGGCCTAAGGAAAAGGCCAAATATGCGGAAGGTCTCGCGAAAATAAAGAGGGATGTACCCGGGAAGCAGGCACGGGCCTGTGTGGATAAGGTCCGCAAGACAGCCACAAGAGACATGCTTATCGTCCTGGCCAAGGGCCGCGCCGATAAGGCTCATCGTGCTCAGAAGAACACTGGTGGAGCTCCTTGGCGAGGATACGAAAGTCCTGGGCAATGGACCAGAACAGGACATTGAAATCAGGGACCTGGACCATGTCACCACGAAGGGAGACGTCCTGGAAGCCCTGAGAGGGGCAGGTGGCAGTGTCGAGTTGCCGGCGGGCGCCGTCAAGCTGCTCCGCAGGACGTACGAAGGAACCCAGACGTCATTGGCCACCCTGCCTGAGCAGGTGGCGAGAG